CACACACACACACACACACACACACACACACACACACACACACACACACACACACACACACACACACACACACACACACACAGTCAGATAATAGCGTGCCAATCAAAATATTTAGCTCCGCTGTGTGTTGTGTGCATGGTAGCTCTCCCATGTAAAGTGTGAAGTCTGAACTGACATGACTCATTCAAGTAGACTCAGCTGCTGTTAACATATATTTCCATACGGTCTATAGAGAAGAGAGCACGCTACACTCTAAACAGAACCTTATTGTTTTCTATTCAACAACCAGAGCCATGATCCATGCACCCTTGATGACTGTGTTTACTGCATGAGAAGAATGTCATTGCACACAAACGCCATAAACACTCAACCAGCACGGCTATAAACAAGTAAAAACTTGTCAGCCACATTAAAAGAAAATGATTTTCAGATCTTTAATGTACCGAAGCCTCCCAGACAATACAAGTCCACAAACTAAACCCAGCTTGAGCCTGTGCCACTGAACTTGGATTAGCACGGCTAAATGTACAGTAACCGAAAAATCCCTATAGCGAGTTGAATTATGGGGGCCTCGCACGCAACCGCCGAATAAATCTATGAGAAAGCAAAGTGTCAAATTCAACACTGGCATGAGCCGAGGAGGGTGAGGGAACGTGCTTCCTCGGGAAAAGACGTGGTTGCTTTTTGCATGAACTGTGCCCTGCGCCGTAAACAAGATTAAAATAGCTGAGTCGAGGGATCAGGTCATTCGTGACTTAACCTAGCTTTGGTTTCCTTCATGGCCAGCGCTTTGCTGCCCCCTTGGCCAATCACGCTCATTCCTCCGTGGCATAGTCCACATACCAGGGAGGATACAGAAATGAGGATTTCATTCATGCTATTCCTGGTTTCAAGAAAGAAAATTAATCGTTTGTTTCATGACAACAGGGATAAGCCAGCTCAAAGTGCACACTGACTTAAACGCCCTCTCGGGGAAGTTTACCTTGTAGAGAGCTGTGCCTAATAATCCCTCAAACGCCTTGAAGTTCAGGTGAGGTCCATCGTAGAATCTGTCGCACTGAGCTCTTCTGCCGAGCCAGAAAATGGTGATCAACACCTGGAGAGAGAAAACCAGACATGCAAGTGAAAACCAGTTCTTATCAGACACAATCAGATTATAGTGATAGCTTTATACCCTCACTGGTGAATGTTCTGTGCAGTGCTAAAGCAGGTGATTGTTATGAACTGGGCTCACATCACCCTCTTGTTTCCAGGCTCATCCAGAAAACTCTGCTCTGCTGCCGTTTGCGTGTGCATTATTGGGTGGGACGCGGACATGTAACGCACTAAAGCGAGCAAACATCACTACATCAATCCTGCTGGTCCCCTATCTCATATGAAACCATTCAAATCTACATGACAGCTCTTTGGGTTTATGCCTTGCAAGTTCAAAATAAATGATTATTTTTGCAGTGGGAGTGCACAACAGAAACACGCAGGAGAACAACGATGAGGCCGTGATGACAGAGGTAGTGTTTCCAAATAAACAACATTAATAGTTATCGCAACAACATCCAGACTTTAAAACTGCACCCTTTACTTAGGAGCCTTTAAAGTTCAAATCTACAGACAGGAAAATGTTTATCTTGATATAATTTTGATCCATATCGTGAAATATCGCGATATATTCTTTTATGACTGATATCACCTGATGGGACAAATATCTCAGAGAATACAAGCTGCGTTAAAGCAACGTCCGTATCCTTAGGTCATGTCTGTATCTCACTGTGAACTTAGAGGAAAGAACTTAAAACCAACTAAATGAAGGAAGAAGAAAAACAACAGATCAGGCTAATTTTTTTGTCTTTTTTCTCAAATTAATTTTTTCTTAATTTGTGTTGGTGTCACAAACACATTGTCGTTATTTTTTCAAGCATCTCAACTAGTTTTCAGCACAGGAGGAGCTCGTCGGTTTCATTCCATGAACTCATGGAAATAATGTAAATAACCAAGATTAATTCAGTTTTCTGTTCTGTCCTATGACATAATGAGCCTGGTTGGAATTCTAGTTTTCATATATTCATCATATTACCCTTTGGATTCAGCGTGATCATTGTGCAAGGCGTCCATGTGATCTCACAGTGTGACACTCAAGAATCTTTGTTTGAATTAACAGTTTACTCTATTTTTACCTATTTAGGAAATTTAACCAGAAACACAAAGAAAATAAATGTGAGCAAAAAAAGCATCATATATTTTGATGGTTCACTGAAGGTTTAATGATGTTCTCTTATGGTGCCTGAAGACGTCGGTAACCAGAGATAAAGGATGTTTAAGAATTTGTTGTTATTGAACGACAGATCAACAATTCAAATGCCTGGAAAAAAGACAAACAAAAGACAGGGTTGATATTTGTTCACTCACATTTTTCAGCCTCCGGTTGGTCTCTTGATCCCTGCGAGAGACAGAGCAGAAAAGAGAGGTGTACGTGTATGAGAGGAAATGACAATAAAAGAACAGAGGGCACTGGTACGGGGGGGGGGGCAGTGAAAGAGCTGGAAACTGAGAGCACAATCCAGACGACTGTCAGCCCTTCACTCACTCTCACACAGCAGCAACAAAAGCAGAGAGCAATAACAACTACACATTTGTGTTAAAAAAAAAAAAAAAAAAGTAAGAGTTGGGATTGAATGACATCTGTGTGCATATTTTTTCCACTAATCGCAAAACTAAGCAACTGCTGGAACCTTGATTCTTTCATGTTTAGGGCCATAAAAATATCCCAACAGATGATAAAAGTAATGACTGAAAGAACAACTTTTGAAAAACCAAATAAGGCTCTACTGTTGGAGAACCAGAGCTTTAAGCAGCAACGCAGGGTCACACACATACACACTGTCATAATTCTGGGGTGTGACAGTCAGTAAATCACTTTCCCAGGAACACGTCTGCTTGCTCTAGCTCCTGCGAAACCAAACAACCCCAGTCTCAACCTGCGGGCCTGATATTACCTGCCTACTGTGTGCACACTGTGAACCTGTCAACTAGTTTGACTGTAGCATCTATTTAAAGAGCCCTAACAGTGATAAACAGCTACAGCACATACAGTCACCATAGCAGTGACAGTGAGGAGGATATATCGTCTGCTTCACATCCTTCCCGCTCTCTTGTGCTAATGGAACCTGCCGAGGGTCTGATGCATTTAGGTGCACCTTACATGACTGCAATCAAATGGGTTCAAGTCAGGGGTGCATAATAAAACACTATCTTTTTAAATCTTATGGTGACTTTTGATATTTAAAATGTTCAAGATTAAATAAGTGGTTGTTTTTTGGCTTGTGGCTTCTTACCTGCCTCGTCTATGAGTTGTTAGCAGTTACATCAAATCTCTCATTTGGGAAATAGTTTCGAGACAAGTTCAAATTGCAAACAAGTGCCTGAGTTAAAATGATTTAATGTAACACGATAAACATTTCTCAGATTGAATTATCCAATATTTCACTGTAAATACATCCTATCAACCATTCATCAGTTGCTGTCTGTGGTTTGGTGCTGACCCGGAGGTGCACACTGATATTTAAGACTTCTTTATTTCAAGGTTCATCACCACGAGAGAATACTTTCACACTGTCTCAATGTGTTTTTGCTAAGATGTACTTATTCAAATAGTGTTTTTAACTGTTTGTTCATACTTAAATACTTTTACTTTAAGTTTTGAACACAGAACCTTTACTTGTTATAGAGTATTTTTACATTGCTCTACTGGTTCTGAGGACCTGAGCACTTCTCTCACCACTGACACCATTTAACTGGATGGGAAGCAGCTCAACGTTCCCACCAGCATGCGTCATCTCACACCAGGGGTTTCCAACGTTCTAATTCCCCAGTGGTGAAAAACTGAAATGGGCGTTTAACAATTTGGCATATTACAAATTAATGGACCCAATAAAAGCAGCAGCAGGAAAAAAATGCCCTCTCTTGTGTGGCTTGGAACACGGTCACAATGTTTTAAAATTACAGCAGTGGTAGCCAGGTCCAGAAAATAAGCTGAGCTGCAGTGTACCCAAACTACCACCACATCTCTCTTAATGCTCATTTATGGCTCGGGGTAATAGCTGAAGAGAGGAGGAAATAAAAAGGTCTATTTTCAGGCCTCCGGAGCCTCGGGACATGACTGTAGTCTGTTGGAATCAGCTGAGCGCTCATATGATTGAGCACAAAACGTCACCAGACAAGATTTTTACACAGAGTACAGGTTAAGAATGACTTCTATAAAAATAATCACTTTTATATTTAAACTGTCTTTGAGCAATGCTGAGCAGATCTGTGAACAGTTCACTTGAGTTAACAAGAAACATAAAGTCAAAAAGAGAAGAAAAAAATCGAAATTAATTTTTTTAAAGCTGAGACTTATTTTAATTCAGTTGGTTCATTTCAGTCTAATCCAAAAACACAAAACAATATATGTATAATCATTCTAATAACAACAAGGAGCAGGTTAAAATCGTATATTTCCTCCCTCTTTCATACACATGTATGTAACACTACATACAGATTTTCTTTCTTTTCAAAAATCACAGAGAAGATGAAGTAAACATTAATGAATCATCACAACATAAATATTACTTAAGTTTTAACGTAATAGCTTATTTATTCCAAACTGAATGAGCTGAAACTTAAACCCTGGAGAACCAAACATTTGCAATTGTCATTTAGTGAGAGGGAAACAGTGACATTCACAGTCTGAGCCCTGAGACAATACACATGTTGTACAGTAAGTATCCAGACTTCTGACAGGGAAACCCTCCCGGCTGACAAATGAACGGGACGTCCACAAGACATTTATCTCAGCCTTTATCCTCAACCTCTTGCATTCACAGCTTCACACTCTCGCAGAAGTCAAAGAGTGAGAGACGACAAATCCATCTCCAGACAGCGACTCTTCATTTGACCTCAAGTAGAAATCCAAAAGATGCCAGACACACAAGTGCAAGTCAACATCTGGAGGTCAACTACTGCTGCTACACAACCATCAACAAACATAACAGGCTTCTGATCACTTGACACCATTTTGCCAAACTTGATTTTTAAATGTGAAACTGCTTGTTCTGCCAACGCAAACCAGATGAAGAGAAAGATATGAAACTGATGAAACACAAGCCACCAGTCAAATGTTAGTCAAACAACTTGTTAATTACATTTTCTATCATGTCAATCACTTTCCTGTGCCGCCACATGGCAAGAAAACATGTTTAAAGTAAATTTACAGGTGAAAAAGTTTACAGGTGAATAATGTTACAGGTGAATGAATGAAGCGAGACGACATGATGTGACAGAGTCCATGCATTTCCTCTAAAAACACCACGGCAACAGAAGACAAAGATCTAAGCCTGTAAGCACGATGTGAATCATACCTCTTCAATGGAGATCACTTCTCTTGTGCGTGCAGATGTAAAATCCTTTATCTATTCTTGCATTATCATAAAAATACCTACGCTCTTATGAGTCCTATAAAAATAGACGTGTTCTGTACAGAGGGCTCAGCTGCGGGTGAGACAGTGTCGGGCATCATTGTGTCACACTCGTCACAGACACTGCACCCTCTGTGAGCGAGGACACAGAGTGAGGCTGGCATTTCTCTCTCCAACTCATCTACAGAGCACAACCATAACCCTTGTATTGGCCTTCTTTTTTTTTCTTTTTACAGCCGAGGCCTCCTCCGTGGTGTAGAAACTTTATTGACCATCATTGAATAATCTGCACGGAGAAGTGACAGCAGTGCCACATATTAAAATGTGAAACCAGAGCAGTGCCAGCTCAGTGAGCCACACCCTGAACGCCAACACACTTCGCTCGTCCTCTTTGCGTTGATTCAAGAGAGTTACAATATGCACGAGGTGCAATACCTCTTGAGGTTGAATAAATTCTGATAAGAGGCTGTGTGGTGCGTCCACATTTGTCTGAGAAACGGCACATTCCTTCAGGTGGTTCAAACATTTGGTTTGATCCGGAGCCAAGGAAGTGATTACATAATCCACATCATGTAATCGCTTCACATAACCACTCCTCTTTCTCTATTGTGCACAGAGGGTCACTGACATTCCTCATAGGAGACGGAAATTTTTGATCCACATGCCTCAGTAGGGCAGTTTCTTTTTTGGAGAGCAGTCGAGCCCCGTGTCAATAATTTGTGAAATCAAAACGACAGCGACAAGTGAGACTTTGGACTCGTCTCTGCGGGGGATGTGCTCTGTCAGTGAGAGCAGGTCACAGAGGGGAAAGAAAACCAGTACACAAATTCTTTACTTCAACTAGTAGTACGACTATAGTAATATAACTGCAGTATGACTACAGGTAAAGATTCTGCATTTAAAAATGTACTTATAATTATATACTTATACTTATAAATATATAATGTATATGTATAAATATTATATTAAAAATATATATATTTTATCATTGTTATGAACACCCTTTTAAACTGATATGGGAACTGTGTTATTTAACTTCTTTGCACATCCAGGAGTTACAAATAAAAACAGCCTCATTCATTTCGAGTCGTCTTCCTCATCTGGATCATGTGAACCTTTTCATTTTGCTCTGTTTTTGGGTTCCACCAACTCCTGAGGGAACATCTGGCCCTTCAGCTGATACATGCTCTGCTGTGTTCACCAGTTAGTCACCAAAAATAAGAGTTCAAAGAGAATGAACCAGAACAGTGAAGTTGTGGCTACACTGTTAAAATGAGCTGTAACTCACAATAACGCAGAGTGAAGCTGCAGATTCAGGAGATAATTTATTACTATGGACCTTTGACACAATGTGTTGCTGTGTAATAATTGTATTTATTACATTATTTAACATGTTTTACCTGATATCGATGGAGCTATTTTCTCCTCCTCATAATATGAAACATGTTTTATAAGATGATGACATGTTTTACACATTAGGAGGTTATGTTTTCAACCCATCCGTTTATTCCATGGTTTGTTTGGTTCAAAACAAGTTTACGCAAAAAATACTTTCCAAGAAATGTGGGCTCAGTGCAGATCCAGGAACTTATATTTACTTTCTTTGACATAACATTTTTCAACATTTTCACTGTTTTCCCCAAAAAATAATTCATGCATGACGAAACAAATCTGAAGGACTGATTTCTATGAGTGTGTGTAATTTGGTGGAGCTTGATTCAATTTTGTATTAATTTCCACCACTGCTCAAAGTTTAACAACAGCTACAGTCTATAAACCCTTTATTGCCTGATATGATGCTATAACCCCTCTCACACCCACTGCAATATACACACTGTACAATGTACAGTAAGTATGAGGAAGATAAGTCTGAGGTACATGAGGCTTAGATACTGGGACAGGCTGAATAAGCATTAGCGCTCCTTAGCAACAGTGTGACAGTACAATGTGTAACAGTGCAGGATAAATGACGCGTGCATCCTCGGTTCCACGCGCTGTAATTTCCGCCTGCGGAGCCAGATGTCCCATTTAAGAGTTAGCTCTGTGACAAATGGCTCTTGTTGAAACATTCGTAGAGGTCAAGTGTAAAGTAATCCGCTGACATTTAATGTAATTAGGGACAAGCCAGCGTGTCCTTGGAGTGGTGGTCCTTCTCCGACCTGGAGTCCAGGCTGCTGAGTGGCATTTTCAGGGTCTTAAGGAAGTGGATACAATTAAATTGAGCCCTTCAAGATGCCTCATTTCCTGAGCAGTCATTAGAAATGGACAGAATTGTTCTAATGCAGCCAGTGAATCATAGCCTGCCATGATGATTCAGATTCAGTCTGGTCAGAGTTACACCTCTGGGAGTGTCGTAGGGCGACATGTGGGTGATATGCGTTTCTATATCACAACAGTCCGTCATGTTGTATGACTTATCTGATACTGAGCGTTCCTGTGACTGATAAACCTCTTAATCAGAGAGCAGGTTGCACAACACAAAGCAATAGAGGAGTACGCACTGCAGATGGTGGTTAAGGCCAATACAACTGCAGAGCTCAAAGGTCAAAGCAGACATTCAATAATATTTTATGGCTGTTGAAATAACACAAGCCTTTATGTATTGAGTCATGTTCTCAGCACATAGCTGCTAAAAACTATTTCAAACCATAAGTGCGACATTCAGTGTTTCTCATGGAGGCTTAGTTCAATGAAACCAATCAATCCTAAATCAATTTAAGTTTTGTTTTAGTGGAAATACACTTGATTTAAAAAAATAACAAACCTGCAGCTCACATATATTTTCTCTTGATCCGTATTACAGCCAGGCCAATAAGGACTTTGGAGGGCCTGATACCGATATTAGGGAATAAAGAAATTCTGATACCAATATATCGGATATATTAATGACTTGAAGAATCACACTTTCATCGTGTTGCACGTTTCATACTGCAGATACCAAAGTGAAAGTTAATGACAGACAATAAATGTCAGATTGTTGCTTTACAAGGCTTTTGCCAGGAAAAGCTAATAATAGCCCTGTAACAGTGAAAAGCAGCACACAGCAGCAGCAGGATCCCACCCTCACTGCTGCTGAACCAGAGAACAGGGAAGCTGAGCGAAGCACCTGTCAGACAGGGTTTAAGGGAGTGGCAGTTGGATATACACCAGGGGCAAAGACAGCTGAGAGAATATACTTTCTTTCTGTGCTCTGTTCATTTGCCTACTCTCTGATAAGTGAAAAACCTCCACTGGCTGCAGCCTTGTTTGGGATTATCTCCTCGTGTTAGTCTCCCTGTGCCATCTCCAGTTATAAATACTGCAGCTCGGGAACCACATAATTGTTCCCACAGACACCTCCACATTTTCATCTAGTGTTAAGTCTTCGTCAAAGACAAACTGGAGACACTTCCTCTGTATAATTCATCCCGACTGACTCATGAACAAAGCAGCTGGAGGAGGTTCATGTAAAAATGAGAACCTGCGACTGCTGAGCATATTCGAGTGTCTGCAGCAGCAATCAAAGACAAGTATGTTCTGTATGTCTTCTCTTCTGAGCGAATGGAATCCTTGACAAACCAGACATGACAGAGCCGCCACAGGAATAAGAAACACACTTGCAATAATCCAATGCACAGCAACCATAAGAAACAAACGCAGGTCAGCCCCAGGCCCCAGACACATGTGGGTGTGACCCTCGACCACAGAGTTTATGGTTCGTGGGATTTGAGGCAGTAAGGCCGCTTCTGAGGGGAGTAGATAAGGAAAGGAAACTTCCGAAGCCAGGCAGTATTTACACACCGTGTATCCTCGTGGCTCAAATGAGGAATTGTCCTTGTCTTGTGTTTTATGAAAACACGGACACATTATTGATGTATAGATTGTTGGTTGTTGTCTTAACTTCTATAAGCTGGTTTTTACATAGATTCTTCACTCCAGAAATTCAGAAACAGTTACGCTACAGTGGAAAGTACTTGATTACAAGTAACGTTCAACTCTAGTCCCACCCCCCCCCTGTTTTAGACACGCAGAGAGAGAGCCTCGGGCTGAACCATTTCTTTCTGCTGCTGTGTGTGTTAAAGTGTTGTAAACATACTGTATCTGCAAGTGTTGACATGTTTTTTTCTACTTCCGGCCCCATTACACTCTGAGAACCTTTGATTTCAACACGTCGCTTCTTTTGTTCAAATACCACAATCTAAACCGATAATCACACTCAAACTTTCACATGCACACACACAAATACACAAGTGAGAGAGAATGTACTAGAGAGAGACAACAATCTATTAAAAGATCCTCAACCACGAGTCCCGATACCATTCCAATCAATCCTGCTTGTCAAAGTGACTCCCAGCTCCTAAAAATAGGACTTTGAGCCCCCATCTGACCGAACCCCCGCACGCAGGCAGACGGAGCAGAGCTGCAGGACACTCAGAAAACTGAACAAGGGATTTTGTGTTGCTCATTGTAGAGATTTGATGCAGAAATTGTTCGATCCACAGAAAAACACAAATTCCACCAATGCAAGGTGAAATAGAGTATGTCAAATTTTTTGGAACGAAGTTTAGTTCTACTGCCAATATCACGGTGGAGGATTATGCAAGGGGGTGAACGTCTGGTAACGAACACAGGACATGAGGTCTATAAAAGTTTATCTTTGCATTCATGAGATTGGAGCGCACATTTAGCATTTAGCCAATACAGCAATAATGATACTGCTCATTTAGTACACACAGGTACTAAATGAGCAGTTTGCTCATTTAGTACCTGTGTGTGTGTGGCCTCAGCATTAATATTAGTGGAATAGAGATTACTGACATTCTCTGTTGGATCATGGGAGAAATGTTACTGTTGTTAACTTCTCAAAGAAACATCCAATCTGACTTGAACTGCACAACTGGCGATGCTAAGTGACACACAGTTGACAGATACAGCAGCAGAGCCCAGTGGCACACAGGCAGCGTTGAGAGGACCACAACTTCATTACATCATGTTGCATTATTTTCCAAACTAAAATGCTGTATTTGCCAGTGAGGGACTCATGAAGCACCTCCACTGTGTTATACAGCCACAGAGAGTGTGGCTGAACTGTGCTCTGCTTCCTGACCACACACCTGTAAAAGCTGAACAGGTTGTTCTACATACGACAACACTGACACACTACTGACACAACAACAACTCTCTTAAACAAGAACATAACAAACACTATAAGTATCATGCAAAGTTGTGCACTATCCAAGCTGAACTTCTTTCTGTTCCAACATAACCTGCATGTAATCTACTCTCACATCTCATTTTTAGCTGATTTGCTAAACATGCAACCAAACAAGTGAATCTAATCTTCATTCTTTCATCCTCTGTTTCACCGACTTGTCTGTTTTCACACCCCAACACCTCCATCGTCTTTCATAGACGCACACAGAGCAGTGCCGTGCTTCAACAGGTGCGTGCTACTACAGGAATACTGTACACGCAAACTGAAAATAGCGCTGACCTTTTTTAACACCTCTGCAGTTAAACTCGAGTCAAGCCTCGTGTGTGGTTTGAAATACTGAGTGTGTGTGTGTGTGTGTGTGGATGGTGTGAAACATGTAAACATTCATCCCAGCCTGGTAAAAGAATGGATGCATACATAGATCAAGCACAAGATTAAAACAAGCGACTGTGGATGATTGGTGTATGACCGTGGCCTGATTTGAAAGAGCTGATTCTGTCGAAAGCGAAAAAAAATGCACAGATCAGCGTAACCACAAAAGTTAAAAGGCTAGTTCAACAACAGGAGAGTCAAAATCATGAAATGGTGTCAGTCTAAAAGACAGACCTCATCTCATGTGAATGACAATCACGCGTATCAGAGAGTAACTTACTTGACTGTCACCCTTGTGGATAAGTCCTGAAGATCTCCGGGGTGAAAGAGCTGCGCCTCTTTTAGTCCGAGCTTGCCGCAGGCCCTGAGGAAGACGTTGAGGTTGTCCTGGACAAAAGGAACAAAGTAGGGATGAGTAGGTTGTCCACCCTCAGGAGCAAAAGAATAATCACTGAAGAATTCTCTAGCAGGGATGGCAGGGACACAGCCTGCAACTCATTGCTTCCAAAGTTCATATCCCGAGAGAGCGGAGACGGATGGGGAGGAGCATGTGTGCAGCAAATAAGAAGTGACCCAGTGCAGAACACACACACATGCGGGGGTGGAGGCTGCGTGACAGGAGCTGAGTGACAGCAGCAAAGCTACCTGTGGCTGTGGGCATGCAGCAGGGTGGGGACGCAGCCAAAACCAGGAAGGATGACATCAGAGCTTTGTGGAAGTCCCACCCAACCGGCCATGCGAGTGTAAAAATGACAAACACAGGCAGCACATTGCCATGCTGCCGTCTCCTTTCTTCTCACGCCCTGAAACTGTCCCCTCCCTTCCCCCGGCCAAGCCCTTTACTCGAGAATACCTGTGGAATCTGCGGGGTGGTGGAGTATTTTGGAGACATTTGGTTGCTATGAAACACGAGGCCCGGGTGATAGAAACTGACAAATATTTCCCTGAAGCAACTCATGAGGACATGGGAGTGGAAGGACGGTTTCTCCTCCTCGTACATGACTCTATATGATTCATTTCATTTTGCCTATGCTTCGTATGAGGGCACATGCTTTACACAGATGTGTGAGCGCAGTGAAAATACATCATTTCTCCATAAATACTCATGTACTTCATACAAATCTTAAACCACTAAAGCACCATTCCTTTCTGGGGTTATGACTTCTTCACTCGTAATCCCTTCTGTCTTTGTTTATAAGTCTGCACTTCCCATCGGGACGTCGCTGTTTCAACAGGGTTTCATGTAATGACACATGGTTTCATCGTGGGCTAGAATAATTAAGGGGTAGCTCGTTCTATATTTAAATGTCAAACATGCTTATTAACAAATGGTAGGAGAGAGCTGACCTCTCACTGCAGGCATCTCCAGCTAACAGCTTTGCTTGTCCTTCAACGGCCCTTTTGACGGAACCTGCAGGTCACTGTGGGGCCCCTAGAGGTCAGGGATCAAACACACTCTCCTCCTCCTCCTCCTCTGTACGGAGGCGCAGGGGTCACTGTTTATTCGTTATGTCACTGTAAAGATTTTCTCTTCTCCTGCGTCATCTGAAGATATTTTTATCATAAGTGAGACCTCTCTCATCACGTGTAACATAGTTCACATGTACTTGGTTATTCAATGCATACAGCATGTACAGTCTGCAAATGTGTCTCTTTACCTCCGACTGCAACAACAACAATAACACAACACTAACTTTAAAATCATCAGCGTGTTGGATATGATTATAACCTTGAGTATGAATGTCAATTATCCTCATTACTATCAAACCAAGAGCCCAACAGTCAGTCCCAGAACATGCAGAGATAATGATGTTGAAAGAATGTTATACTGACTTGTGCCTGCACATAATCCTGCTAAATATGCTGTAACCGTCCAGCAGCCTCTAATCCTCTCATGCAGACTGTGCGGACCCCCTGATATAAGCAAGTCACACTAAGAAATGGAAAGATCCGACTCTAAAGGTGTTTGGTTTGATATAAAAGCTGATCCCACTGGTTTACATTGTGGTCACTCTATTTCTTCAACTGCATTGTTTCTCCAAGATGTGCAAGCTCTGCAATTACCCTCAGCTGACCCGTCGTACCAAGCAAAGCTATGGTTAAGATATCAGGCTACGCATTTTCCAATCATGTCACAATAAACCAGAGAGGACACAGAATACTACTAAAACTGGCCCAAAACAAGGATCCTGTTCCAACGGTCCGATCCAGTCATAACACACACCCATACAACGCAAACACAGCAACAAAACATGGTCAGATGCCTGTCATTGCACAGATGATTACACATTCAAATCAGTGAAAACTCCTTCAGGGCCATTGAGACCGTTTATCTCCTCCCACTGCTACCTCAACTCACCAAGGAGTTGATATGTGGGAACATCCAGCACTATCTCCATTACGGTCTATTTACAGCACGCAGCGGCAGATGGAGTCATCTTTGACTGAGGCCCAGTGGTTCCTCAAATCCAGGCCCCCACTCATGTAACGGCTTCCTGCCCAGCAGAACCGGGCCCGAACCAGTTTGCCATGACTCAAACCCACAGCTCGGAGTGATCAACAACAGGCAGAGAAGACTGCTGACATGGGAAACATTCCCTTGGACGCAAGTGAAGCCAAAGAAAAGGGCCGGGTCTGGAGCCAGTGTTGCTAAATATTCCACAAAACCAGAGATTTCCGTTTTTTTCCCCTCTCTCCCTCACTGGGTTCTTTATTCTGACTGAGCTGAATCTTGGTGTGGGAGCTGAACTCTCTCAAAACAAAACAATTATGTGCATAAAAAACGTTCCTATCTGATTGTTAAACGAGGTGTTTGCCAGGCGATTACGGTCATTCTCTATTATCTGGAACAGTCATCTTGTTTTTCTCAGGATTTCTCTTACATAGGCCTTTTTTGGAAACTCAGAATACAAGAAGAATCTCTGGTAACGATCAGTGGAGACAGGTAGCATGTACATTAACACAAACCCTATGGCAATAATCTGCATTAAAAGGGATAAATGTCTGAAGATATTCATTAACTGGTTGATTTACTTTGGAATTTGAGGGAGCACGGCTAAATTCTCCCCTCCTCATCTGTATTTACAGAGATGAGAGATAGAGGACGGAGAAGTCTACAACAACACAGCTTTAATACTTTTGGAGAAAAGCTGATTCTCACAGTGGAGCGAGAGTGAGTAATGTTTGTTTGGAGAGCGCTCTGCTACTCTCCGTGTGGTTGGCAGAAACTAATCTCCGCAGGGCCAACCAGCAGCCTTCACATTTGCGGGAGAATTTATGATCAAGTGGTTTAAGGTTTATGTCCAAGCCTCGGAAATACCACACCAGTGCTACTGATGGAGCAGATACTTTACCTCATTACCTCAGCAGGTGCCCAGCCCGTTACATTACCCAGCCGCCCAAAACAAACTGCCGGGAAACTTGATTTGTGTCATAACACAGATATGCTGGTGCAGCGTTTGGTGCTGGAAATACTATGTTTACTGTTTACAAGTTGTGCCAGCCCGTATCGTTCACTGCCAGCTTGTCACTGTCCTGCCAAACATGTTGAGCGTTACTGATCCCACCAACACACACTTTCCGGGTTAGGGTTGGGGTTCTCCATAATTCCTCCAGACAGCTGGACTCAATTACTCCCACAAGAGGGAGACAGCTTTGTGAGGGATGGGTTGAAGGTACGGTTTTCAACCCTCTACTTTCACGGAACTTGTATGTTGACACAAAATGCATTTATTTCAACCGAGTCACCGTGGCCACAATCGGCTGAGACACAAGACAGAGCCAGGGAGACAAAGCTGATTTGATAACACTTTGTGGCATGAACCAAACTCTTCTGACCTCCCATCAGTCAATCATAAACTCAATTATCATACCACTTCAAAGATTTCTTTCTGGTTCTATAGTTCTTCTTCTCGTAGTTTTGATTGAACGCAGCCCTCGAGTGGGGCAGACATCATGCTTAGGGTTCACTTGAATGCTGGCGGTGGCCTTTCAAGCCGCACGTTCACTGATCTTATTAGTGCGGATGGATATGCGGAGTGACGAGCCACTGAGGCAGACACTTCTCGCTCACTGGCAGCTGTGCCTCAGACCTGTCACCAGTCAGCTCAACTGCTGTATCTGTCACCGCCTCCTCTCACATCTTAACACGCTACGTTAAACATCACCTGAACATGGGAAAACAGCAATAACAGGAGACAAATCTGTGCATGAAGAAAATGTATGTCAAAATATTTTTTAAACAACATGTACATGCAACATCCCATGTCTCATATTTAGGTTGAAGAAAAAAAAACCTGTCTTACCAGTCCAGCAATCGGCGTGGGCAGCCTGTTAACCCTCTTGACGACACCGGGCCTGATCTTGTTGATCAGACTGCGAGCAGAAGAAGGAGACACAACATTATGGAGAGGAAGGGTTGTAAGTGAAAGCCACTGGCCATTGGCTAGACTGGTCTAACTAGTGAGGAGTTGTTGCAAAGCCTTGGTGTTGTGTGTTTACGACTGGGTTTAATGGTGGCCACCTGGCTCCAGTTTAGTAAATGGCCTGTGCCGCACCGCGATGTAAACACACTGGGTCCCTCAGCTCCTAAAACATACCTTCTTCTACTGAAACAGCCCCAAACAAACCCTGAATCACCACATATCATCTCAGAAGAGTGAGGATTTTTGAAAAATGGCAATGCAATCAAAAGGGTGCTGTTTGTTAAGCTGAAGAAAAAAGGAAAATAAAGAAAGACTTGCATTTCCAAATAGGAGACCTTCTTCTTGAGTAATACTGACATTATTATAAAGCATTCATAAGTAAACTTAATGCAATGTTTCTGTAAGGTGACAAAAACGTGAAACTTTAGCACCATTTGCTTGTTTTTTAAAAATTAAAAGTTTAACATGAGGCAAATAGTTTGTTAAAGCAGGTGTTTGCTTGAGGTCGTCTCAGTGGGGATGGAAGCGGAGGGAACCGGGGTGTAAAACTTTATAGGGGAGGACACAAAACAAGAATGCACAAGGTATTTGAGGTAGGAAGAGAAATCGGTCATAATTTCATCAAATAACACACTCTGTAAGTAGGTAAGTGGCCAAGTATAGGACATAATCATCTGTGCGATCCCCGCTAAACATTACTTCCCAAGTAGTTATGACAGGTTCACCACAACACAATGGGAACTGAGGCAGATTTCCTCTGTGAAAGTGATTTAATCGCTGTCTTCCTCTTGCTCCCGCTGAGACAACATGGACAGCTCTGTGAACGAAAGTGTCTCTGTTGTCCTCTGAGAGGGAACAAACAGCAGAGCCAGGCTCAAATCAGCAGAATGAGGGGGCTTCATCTTTGAACCGATGCCGATTCTGCATGGGCTGCCGGCAATTACGGCTTCCTGCTGATTCGTGCAAATCCCATCACTGTGTCTGTCTAGTGCTGCCCACACACACAACTGTCCAAAAAGACACGATGCTAAACTTCGCTCTCACACATCCCCAATCTGAGAGAAGCCACAACTCCACAACTCTCAGAAGACGATCAATGTGAAAGCCAAATTCTGCAGGGATAAATTTGTTCCTCAAACTCATTAAAACTCTTGATGCACCCATGGGTAATGAGAAAGCAGGGTGCCCGGGCTCTCCAATGTGGTTTCAGCTGGAGGCTTCCCATTCACGACACAGCTTTTCACAGCTCTCATTAAAGCAAGGATGGCAATCTGCCTGTCCACAGATCTGTAACATCTGTTAAACAGACAAAACGGCTCCTCCTGAAATAGATCACACTTGATATTCTCAGACAAGACCACAGAGGGCAGATCTGACACTGCAAAGATCAAATAACTACATAATACAACCTCTATTGTGCCGAAACAGTGGCTCACTTCATGTGGCCGACAAACAAACAGCGCCCGGCGAGGGGTCTGCCTGGGAAATATCAGTAACACTTACATCGGAGCGCAGACCTGGAGGAGAGCAGAGGGCTTCCATATGAATGAGTGGCTTGAGAGAGGCGCCTGGTAAAAGCAGGGTACTTACTCACACAGCAGAACGCCATTCTCCAGTGCTGATCGGAAGTCGTTGCTCCCAAATGTTTTCTTGGTAACTGCCTGGAAAAAAAACGGATACAAAAACAGTGAGGAAAACAGCAAGAAGGGTTGGGTGAGGAGAGGAGGCGGGGGTTTGGTGTGTGTGTGTGTGTGTGTGTGTGTGGAGAATGGAGAAGAAAGGTAGGATGTTGAGAACAGTAGGAGAGGAAGTAAGAGGTATTTCCTCCTGCGTTCTTACAGTGTCTCAGGAACAGAGTTAAAGCGCAGACCTTCAGGTATTTCTTCTGGATTCCTGCAGAGGTTTGATTCTTCCCACTTTAACGCTAAAAACCACTGGTTAACGGGAGAGCGGCGCTAAAACTGTGCTGGAGCCAGCGTGCGAAGCCGCAAAGCTATGGCAGCATCTGGAGGAGCACAACGCTGTGTTATAGCCTCATGCCTTTCCCATGATCTCAAACCACCACTGCAGGAACACCAAGAGCCATTATGTAGGCAAACATGCACACACACACTGCATGAGGTGCAGGTACACAAACTGTGTAGATGTGTATCTACAGTACACGATCGTTAACATAACACTTGTCTGTACATTTTAATATCGACAATCTGTGTTTCCACAATAATAGTTGCGTATTTTGGTTTCATTTAAAAGTGCAGGTTGCTGGAACATTTGTGTTGATGGCCGCTCCTTAACAGAGCTTCCTGTTCTGTTTGGTTGGAATGTTTCCACAATCAACTGCTTCACCAATCAGCACCTGAGCTCCTGAGTCCAACAAAAACAGACACAGTACACAACTGTTAGACAACTTCTACCAGTTCTGCACAATCTTCTCTGTTTGTAATCTTACAAAGTTCTGCATCCGGGTGTGAAAAGTTATAGAGAATTATAAATTGATGCAACTTCTGCATAGCAAGTGCTTTAAATATCGAGTGTTCCAAAACACTCCATCTTGCATCGTCTAGAAACGTTTTTTTAAAACATCCTGTAACGCATCCAAACACTAACAACTTGTTTCTTGGCTCAGGGCCCAACTGCATTTCTCTCAACCTGCTCAAACTATGCACCCACAGTCAAACCAACAAACTGGGCTGACAACTCAGCAGAGGTTGTGACTTCAGGAGCAGCCATGCGGTAATCGTGTTTTGCTGCAGCATTAAGTTCTGCACTAGTTGCTGTGTGAGGATGTTTATTAGAGCCTGACCAATATATGGATTTTTGGGGGCCAATGCTGAGACCCATATTAGGGAGTAAGAAATTTCCCATACCAACAAATCGGCTTTTATCAAACCTTCATGACAGAGAAATGTAACTGAGGCTTGACAAAACACAAAGAAAATAGACCGTAACCCTGGAATTATAAAAAACAAACAAATGTTTTTGTGTAAAATGTGAGACAATAATGCACATCTGAAATGTTTTCATATTGACGCACATAAACGTTAAAATAATTACGGTCAAATGATAAATAAGTCAGGCTCTAATGTGTATTATTTTGATAACACTCAAAACAAAGTGGTGTTATAAGCACAAGTAGATGAGTAAATATAATATATATATATATATTAACACTATTACAGGTGTTTTGTTTTAAATCTGAATTGGATAATTTTTACAATCAAGTAAACAGACAAACCCAAATATTATACTGCAGGAATATAGTTAGGTAGGGCTCCTGCTATCAGCTTAAGTACACACACAGACACACAAACAGCAAAACAAGTTGGACTGGTTGTGCCAGCCAAATTGATCAAATGTGCCTTGGATCAAGGTTTTTTTTCTTTTGTCCCAGTTTTCCTTTCAAGGAAAAAAGACAAAAACTGGAGCAATAGATGGCACAGCTAAGTACAGGCCGTCACTCTGAGGAGGACATGAGAAACTGGAGCAATCGGACAGTTTAAGGGGAAGACACTATTATTATTTTGAAAGAACATACACCTGAGAACACACCCTGGGTAACCTGAGATGGGCAAGGCCTCAAATACCCATCATTCCAAGAGAATTAGACCATGTTGTAATAGATGAATGAGATTAAAGCTTTGACACAGCTGCTATTTGCAACTACAACACAATACACAATGTGATTAGGCTTCTGTTGGGAAATACTTGTTTTTTTTGTTTATTAAACATACGAAAAGGTCTTCGCCAATACTTCAATACTCCATTACAACCAGACACAAATAACACACAATACGCACACAGACTCACACAGCAGACTTCAGTGTGCAGTGTACAGTCAGTCAGATGCTGCAGCAGGCGTATGAAATCCTGACCCCTACTGTTCTATGTACGTGGGGGCACCAGCTGGGATTCACATGCATGCAAACAAACAATACAGGTGGAATGGGCAAAACAATAAGTGTAATTCCCTCGTTCAGTGATAAAGGAGTTTGTTGCTTTAATGTCTTTCCTTGTCTGAATGGGTTAATTAAGTTATGATCTCCTCGTCCAAGTGTGTGAGGCACTAAGCTGGCTGTAGCAGAACACTTCTCCCCTCTCCATCCTCGACATTAGGGGTATTAACTCCCCCTCAGACCTGGCCCTCTCTCGCCCTCTCTCTCCCCTCTGTTGAATCTGCCATGTGGAATAACGACTCTAATCTGCAGCAACACACTGCTGCTCCGATTGAACAAGGGAGAGATTTAAGGCAGGGGCAGAGATTTCAAAAAAACAGATTGCCTTCCTGCTAAAACCACCCACCCTCGCTCGCTCCCCTCAAGAATGTGCGGCTGAACGTGTCGAGTCTCATGATGACCCACCCCTCACGTTAAACGATCGAAACGCGGGACCTCAGAGTTCAGCACTGGTTCTCCAAGTGCTCTGATACATGTGTGAAATCAATTATTATATTTGCAGTGAACCAAGAATGGTAACTTGGTAGAACACAAACAATCAGAGGAATCAAAAGAGTCCCTGCGTCCGTGACCACAGCTATTGTTTATTCATGCCGGGCACTGAGGCAAATCAGTATTCAAGGTTTGTGCGGATGCAGACCCCCCCCCCCCCCAAAAAAAACACCACTAACCACCACCACCACCCACCCACCCCAAATAATTGTTTGCTAAAACTCTTTGTTCCTTCTACGGAGGACAGGGAGCATGGGTCATCGGAGGCCAACAGGGACGTTATCCAACTATTCCAGGGTTCTCGCTCAAGACAAATATAACACCGGGGAGGCCATTAGTACAAAAAAAAAATCAGCATATCAAAATAACAGTTACACTGACATGTAACTCGGCCTCTTGTGTGAGGTCTTGCTTCACGTGTGTGCGTCTGAATGCATGTGGCCTGGTTTCTAATTGCTCCCTATGAAAACAGCGAGAATGAAAACCCAGAATGCTCAGCACTACAGTGACGTGACGAATGATCGGTCCTATCAAAAGCTCCTGGTAAAAAAACAACACTGTGACGCGGGCCGTGGAAAACAGTTCATGGCTACAGGCTGCAGGACCAGAGTGGAAGGGGAGAAAATTAAAAGAAAGGAACGAGGTTATGGATGGAACATTCTCTCCCTTTTTTTTTATGTGAGAGCAAATTTATTGGTGTTGGCTACTTTTTTCTTTTCTTACTCACCTCTTGTGGCCTCTATCCATGCAGATGGTTTTATTTTGAGGTTTTGAGATAGATATCCATCTCTGGCATTTTTTATTTGCTGCCACCCAGTAAAATGGAAATGGAAAGAATTTTGATATCACAGGATTGAATATACATGTTCATATACTGAATATATCACTGTTTATATTGTATACTGTTTTACCAATGTCCATTTGCAACTTGATTCTGCCAAAAGAGACATATAACAACCATCACATGACCAATATTTACACATTGCCAACTCCAATACAAGATCTGATAGAAATATGTTACCAGGATTGGCATTTCCTCTTCTGAATTTAATAATGTTTAAAAATGTCTTCTTGTCGGAAATGTCGGATTCTTGAATTCCAGTGTACCCATGCTGTCTTGTAACTGTGCAAATGAAAATAAACATCTATCTATTTATTACCAGTATTGGACATAATCATTAGTTGCATCTCGGGGCCCTTGATGCAAGCATCCACAGTATCAAGCACCAAAATGTGGACTCACGTGAAACCACATTCAAGAAGCATGGAGTTGTTCCAGTGCTACACGATGGACACAACAGGATTAGAATACAATCTAAAGAAATACACAGGATCGTGTTACCTGTGATTGGCTGCTTTGTTCCAGAGACTGTGAGAAACACAATATGTTCCTTTTCAAGCAAACACGGGGGAGCAAGAATCAAAACTAGGGCTGACATCTTAAATACAGATTACAACCTGAGACCAGATCAATGGCTGAAGTGAAGCTCTGCCTTACAAACCTGTTTAAAAGGAGGTATTCAAAGTATTCTGGGCAACACCTCAATGATTGAAGAAAACAGTCTTGCCCATCTCAGACCAGAACAGCAAAAACTGGTATGATGTGTCTGACACTGTTGCCTGTGCTTGTTGAATCTGAAACACACTCACATCCAAGAAATCTGTGCTTATTAGATCACTGATTACAAACTAACTTAGTTCGCTCATAACGCACAATGTTTGTGTTTACAGACAGCCGCCATATGATCCTCTGACCTAGGACCTGTGTTAACACTGCCACTTGCTCGTCATTACAGCCACACTTGAGGCCTCTCTGTTACATTAACAAGGACCTCTATTATTCCACTATAGGCTCTGTGGTCGTGGAGCGCAGCGCCCTGTGCCGACAGCCCACCGGCTCTGAGGGGGGCTACGTTCACAGCCACGGCGGCTAATGCAGGAATGTGTCCATGTGACAGGCTCCAGACCATTTCGTTTAGCTTTTAACAGCGCCAGCCTGGCCACGCACACATGCCTCTGTTTAAAGTGCTGCGAAGGCCGAGCGGCTTGTTAATCAGTCAGTGACAGAATCCACAAAAAGCCACAGAGCTCTGTCTTTGAAGGAAAAGTGTGCCAGAGTGGATTGCTCCTGTATTTCTTCTGTTTCAGGGCCTCTCATACGTTCACTGAAAATGTAACAGCCCCACACCTTTACCTGCTCAGCTTGTTCAGCTCTCCTCACTCTCCCATAATCTCCCCACACCCAGGGCCTGAGATTACGCCCCCCACCGCATGTCCAAGAGCTGAGCCACTACAATGGGCCAGTGTGCGAGCGTGCAGAGACACTGATGTCACATCGAAAGCATTCAGATTCACCCCTCATGAAATTAGAACAATATTTGTTTAGTTACAGCCATGCAGCAGCTCCGCGCCGCCCTGCTGGGAAGAGAATTTGTGAGATGAGGAAACATAATTTTTGCCCGCTTGTAAAGAGAAAAGAAAAGAGTGAGAGTCTGGCTACAGGCTGCATGGAAACTTGGGATAATTTGACATTGGAGAAATAAAGGGGCTGTTATTGAAAGAGCTGGTGGATCATTTTTTTGTGTGAGTTGCTGGCCATTTTTCATTTTGATTACCGTGTTAGAGAAGTGGGCACATTACGTCCTCTAAAATACAGTGTTACAGTAAATTAATCACCTGTTAAATCCTTTATTCTGCATATAACACATTTTCCAGGAACATCATGTACGCCATGGCGTGGGTCTACTTTTAAAGTTTTCTGCTGACATCTAGAACAGCACTTTTACTTTCAAACATTTAATCTGAAATCAGAAACCATGTGAAAGTCCCATCATTTTGTGAATGTGTGCTTACAGTAACATTTTGCTTCATTCACAGTAGTTTTTCTTAATTGCTCGGCTTATGTTCCTTCGCTATTGCAACTGGAGCCTGAAAGCCTCAGGGACATAAAGTGATGAGCAGGTCCAGGCAAGCTCAGACAGTAATGATGAATGGAGTTTTTGAAAAAACCCTCCTGTCTTTGGAAGAGAGATCCAGAGAAGATAAGGAGGAGAAGCCATCAGATTTCTAGTAGTGGCAAAAAGAAAAGATTGATCTCACCACCTCCCAAAGTGGAGAGGTTAAAGGTGACACATGCCTCAATACATCTTATGGTCCATGCAGGCTACTATTATCTGGAGCCTGGGGACAAGAAGCTGAGGAAGCTGATCAGTTTACAGCCATAAATTTAAATAACTCAATCTGGGATGAGCTGAAGGTAAAAACTTCATCTAGGGTGAGAGGGGATTTCAAGATTATCCTTAAATGTAAGCCTCTACATTAAAAAAGTAGCACAAAAGCTGAATTCATAAAGTGATTCCTAGTTTTATCTCAACTTTATGTCATCTTGCATGGTTTTTAAAATGTTTGAAAAGTGGGTAAAGAAAGTTTTGAATGTGTTTTCACTCACCTCAACCCATCTCTGCGCCTCAGAGTAGGCTTCGTCGCAGCTGACAGTGGACTGCTCACGCCACTCCATCACAGGAACTTATTATCCGAGCTGCACCGTGGGGCCAATTCTGCTCCTGCCGGCCCGATGACATGAATGAGGGCGAGTTTCACACAGGCGGACACTAATGAAGCCACTTTAAGAACCTCCTCAAGCGCAGACACACGAGAGCGCAGGTGAACTTTTAGTCATCACACAAGAAAATATGCCTCCTATTGTTCATTTGCACCAGCTCATCAAAGGGATACATATTAGGTGTTCATTTCCATGCACTCCCTTCTCCTTACACTTCCTCTGCCTACTCTTTGGCTGCAGCCGCGCACCTACCTGCTCCTTACATCCGTCACACCTTCGCTGCGCTCGGAGTCCTCCACCTTTTACGCACGGGTGGTGTGGACAGAGTGGACCCGGGGCTCGCTCACCTCACCTCGGCTGCACCGATAGGAAAGGTCCTCCTTCCTTTTGTGGAGGGTTAAAAGCTGCAAGAGCTGGAGGCTGTGGAAGGGGTGGATGGTTTCCCAAAGTGGGGTCCGAGGACCACCCGCGGGCCCACAGCTGAACACAGGTTTGTTATTCCCACCTCTCCTGGAGGATTTCGTCCGATTCCAGGTTTTTCACCGCCTCCATAAACAGACGAGATGCTCAACAGTGTGATTGTCTTCACGGAATGATAAGCAGCAACACAGAAGGTCCTCAGAATGACGTACAAACAACTTCAAGACTGCTGACCACTAAACACATGGATGTCACAAAGTTTCCAAGAGTCTGGGCAAACTTTCCTACTGAGAGAAGTTGAACTCTTCTCTCCTCAAATATCTTTCCTACAGCGCCACGCAGCGGTGGTCAGGGTGCATTGGCACGCCTGAAAAAACTAAACTGACTCATCATGCAATCAACATGGCTTTTGATTTACTCAACAAGGCTTTGGTGCTTTTGGGGAGTTCTTGTTACTGTGCCACAAATATTTCACCGTTGTAGTTACTTTGCAGAATCAGATTTTCCAGCCAAAACCTATGATCACCTAAGAAAACGGTATGTGCATGGATTAAAAATACTCAGTGGTATATACTAATAAGCCACCGTAGAAGGAGTAAACAATCCTGGACTATATGGCTAAAAGGATAATTAGATAAAAATATTCATATCAGTCCTGATATTGATGATAAAGACTGATTTTTCCTCATGAGGAAGGGTTGTGGTTTTACAACTCTTCTTTGTGAGCAGAGAATGAGAACCACTCAACAAACAGCAAATATTTTATAAATCTGAAGTAGATCATTTCTGTTACACCTCGCTGTGATTTCACAATGCATACAAATCATATTTATATACACTTCACTTTCTTTATATTGCTATTGAGAACCTGGTGATCAGAATTTAACCCAACGCATATGGAAGACAAGAGAATCTGTCACCGTCCAGAAGGAGAATTCTTGCTGCTTCATAAATGTTTGCAAAGAGCAGCCTGGTCCCAAGTACTTAAGTTTACAGCTCTAGATGTTTAATCACAATGAAAACCTCGACACTAAAGCTGCCTGTACATCATACAGGTACTTATATGATGATGTCTGTAAATACAGTCTTAAAAAACAGAACTTTTGTTTATTCAAATAACACATATTCACTAGTCTTTTTAATTTTATTGATTAAGTTGGTTATATTGACATACCAGAAAAAAATTAGCTGGAGTAAATTTAGGATGAATTACTTTTAGAGCAGGTTCCTGGTTGCAATAAAATTTACAGCTTTTGCATTCCCAATGGAGTCATGTAGTGTGCCAGAATATTTTTAAATTCTCGACGGGCTCTTGTAGGTCTGGTATGTCTATTCCACAAACATGCAGCTATAAACCTGTCAAAGTTTAGTTTACACCAAAAACCAACAACAGATGGATATTTTAAAATAGCCAAGAGTCACATAAAAAGGTCAATGAAAGAAATGTTTAATAAATGTGCCTTTTATTTAACAGACTTTCTAATTCTTATTACAAAATGTAGGCACCCAACACTCAGAGGTACAGTCAGCATTCACTTAGAGTGAGCCACACACGTCAGGGACATTCTTTCTGATTTTACCTTTTTCACGAGACCATTAAAAACAGTCAACAGCTTTAAGCCGTGACTGAAATTAAAGTCTCGCAAAACACGTTTCTTCAGGTGTTTTTGAACAGCCGGTTAGATTTATGATCACAACCAAATCACTACTTTTAGTATGTTTGAACCCAGAGTAAAAAAAGAAGTTGAATTCCCTCAGTGACATGAAAAGTGTTAGTTTTTGTTTTTTTTTTCATTGAAAGCCAAGCATGCCAAGTAAACACACTTAAGTGCAGCGTCAGTTAAGTGCAGCTGTCATCTGTATTGCAGTTAGAAATGTTTCAGCAGTGAAGATTTTCATCTTGGCAAGAATTACTTCTTAAATCTCTTTCAGTTACGTCTAACGCGCAACTAATGATTGATGACAAAATTACTTTAGAATGATATACCTGACATTTTTTATCATTTTCCCCACATCACTTTCTGAAGTACTTTGAAAAAAAAATTATTTTCCAATAAAGTCAGCACTTGAGAATGTTTGGCAGTTTTCTTTGTTCTCTCTGGTCACAGGGAAGTTTCCTCAGTAAGAATCTTTGGAAAGAGCAATGATGGTGAAACGAACCTCCTGCGGGTCCCGAGCCATGAAGACCTTACAAACCTCTACAGCATCCTGCAGTGCAATGGAACACAAGAGGAAAGTGATGAGGTGCGACTCTGATTAAACAGATATTTTTATGTAGGCTCGTCTGTTTTATTTTGTGATGTCGTACCTCGAGGAAAGTGTCTTCTGAAGTTTTACTGTGGATAATGGGGAAAGGCTTCCGGCCATCTGCGTATAAAAAAACATAAAAGATTTCATCAAGAGTTTTCACTGTTTTAAAAATGTTGAATCAAAGTGATAATTAGTAATAAAGAGACAACAAGTACTTGACTCGCGGTGAACTCACCCAGTTCATACAACTGTCCTCCGACGTTCACAAAAGCTATAAAATGCAGATTCACTTTCTCATCTAAGCTTGGAGCCTATGACAGACAAAAAAACAAACTTTTACATAAAGTAATATATTTGAGAGAGGCGAGATAAGAAAAAACAGAGAATCTAAAACTCGTACAAACCTCAGTCTGTCCCTCTTGTGCACTCGATTCGTGTGTAACACGTATACTCTGAAACCAGAAGTGGGGAAAAATAAAACATGGGCTTTATGGCAATTTTCCCCTAAATATTTGAGCTGTCAAAACATTTTACAGCTGTTAAGGAATTAAAGTCTGTGCAGCTGTTACATAGTCTTATTTTCCTAAGAGATAATGTTTGAGGCGTCGTGTCATAACATCATAAAAAGGGAGTTACTGGAAGCTAAGATAATTTTCTCCATCTTATGTGATTGCTGTGAAGACCTGTGGGCAAACCACTGCGTCAGCTGTTCCCTTAATGACTGAAAAATATCCCAGAACTACAAACCCTTAATTCATTTATGTGACCAAACAAATCCCAAAACATAGCGTGCCATCCTTCAGCAAGTATTTGTTCCTCAGCATTTTCCTACCTCGTCTTTTTCCAGGAAGGCGGCCCTTTCCTTTGGGGTCATTGTAGAGGTTTTTTCAAGAAACTTCTTAAGAGCAGAATCAGACTCTGAGGAGACAGAAAAACATGTTCAGTAATATTAACACTCACATGATCAACTCTCTAATCATTCAGCTGTTAATCTCCCATCTCTACCACCATGTATGATGCAATTGAAATAACTACTCACCAAATTCCAGGTGTTGCTGGTTGTTTGCCACTGCATGAATTAACCCTATTGTTCCACAGGCATTTCCGATGGTTTGCTTAATGAAGAAGACATCGGGAGAGATCTCCTGACGCTGATCCTTCAGTTTCTCTTCCTCTTCTTGCTTGAAGGCCTCGTACTGGGCACAAGCATGAGACAGGAGAAATGTTTGCTGAACATTTTTTCATTCGGCATAAACGTAACCCTGTGCATCAACAAGCACAGACATATACAGTTAATCATACACCACATACGCTGCGGGAATAAAATTAAAGTACCTTCTCTGTCACTGGGAAGAGGAGCAGCACCGCACACACGGGTCTTGGCACCATGCTGAGAAGCTCTGGATCCAAACCATACACGTCTCCAAATTGCCAGGTTGGCCTCATACCCAGACAGTTAACGAACTGTATGAGAGCCAAGAGTTAATTTTCTCAGCGTACAAAGACATGAAGTTAAACTATCAACATCATATATTTAAATATAAAGTAAAGTTGTATATAACTTCTGACTATCATCCAAAACACCTGCCTCCTTAATAACCCTCAAAAGACTAAAACTACAATATTAACTTTGGTATTTTAGCCACACTAATAAATTCTTATTTTCCACAGCAAGTGAGCCTTAATTAATTTCCTTCTTTTGCACTGAAATGTATTACCCAGTGTTTATGATAGATAAGCTGCCCTTGCATTTAAACACTGACCCCATGCAACCTTTGGACAGTGTAAAGGAATTCATCCCATTATTAATCTGAGATTGTATGAGGTAACTTTGCTCTTCTACTAGTTGATCATCTCGACTGCAGATCAGACGCTGGATATCAGCTGACTGAAATACATCTATCGAAATGTCACATGTCACGTAAATTCTCAAATCTTGAATGAAAATGAGCAGAAAGTGTTTAAATAGCTGCAGGCCAACACAGCCCCTCACATCCCTCTATTAGTTCCTAAATTACAATTCATTTCATTTCATACCATTCAAAGAAGCTCACAGCATGATTCACCTGACACCAGGTGTCCAGACCAAACTCAATCAACACATTTCATTGTATTTCCTCAACATACTGGCTTTAAGTGTTATGTTTTATAAATATATATACTGCTTGTTTTAGATTCTTTGTTGAGATTGTTCTGTAATACGATTCCTTTCACTGTAAAGCAACGTTTCTATCAATTTGGTTCTGAATCCCAGTTTTGTTTTTAAAGATCTCTGTTATAATGGCTTCCTCTGTTTTTCCAAATCTTCTCCGGATGTTGGAAGACAAAGTTTTCTCAAGATCTTCACACATAATGTGCAGAATGCTGTAATCTACTAGTTCCTGAAATATGAAATCCCAGTAAGTACACCCTGCTCCTACTCTCCGTGGTGTCCCTCCTGCTATGATCAGACAGCTGCAAGTTACTGCATTCATATTTGATGATACACTGGAGGTAGCCTCGCTGCTGTGGAGGCCCTGTGCCCCGGTCTGTGCCATGTCTCATCGCCGCCGATCATTCAGAGCCACTCGGAGGAAAATCACTCACCTTCGTCATGACCTGAGGAGAAAAACCAAACACACAGAGGATGAATAAAGTGATTAAAACTGATGTTAGTGCCGAGAGCCGCCACCGGGCTGTAGCTTTGTTCTCGGTGCTAGCATCAGTTAGCCGGCGGCGCTCACATGCATGCGAATGAATGACTTCGACAGAAACAGAGAGTCGATGTGAACAGCACTAACTTCTGGGTTGGACTCCAGAGGCAGCCATCGTGGACAGTCCATCGTGAGGCGAGGTCGAGGTGTTTTTAATCTTTCTGCTGCAGCGCTGAGGCGAATTTACAGAAATCTCTTTGACAGCTGCGAATCACTTCCGCGTCTGGAGAGCGCACTGTGACATTCAGGTGAAACACGGGGGGGTTCGGTTATTCATAAACTATAAATACATCTCGGCCACAGCTTTTACGACACAAATATAGAAATATATACTTCAAATTTATGTATCGATTGTTTTTATATATTCTGAATGGACAGACTATGGTTATTTATCTATAAAATGAAGATTATTTAATGTAGAAGCCACATTATGAGCCTAACAGTGGACCATTCCAGGGTCATGGGCGTGTTTCAGAGAGACAGATTCACAGCAGCTGTAGTTGTTTATTTCCCAGAATATTATTTCGCTCATGTGTCCAATATAAAATCCAATACTATTAATAATGATAACAACAACAACAATAATAATAAAACGATAGTACTGCGTCCTCCAACTCAGAGAGCTAATACCAATATATGCATTTCCCTGGACAGTGTTGAGCTGTCACAGAACATCAGTGACTTGTTTAC